TCTTTGTCTCCATAAGAATCACATGACCATATGGACCTAAACCTCCAAATCTAACCTTTGTAATGGGAGGTAGAAAGAAAAGTTGACCTTTCTACTGCTTTGCTCCATCCGGGAAGTCACACAACACCCTGTGACTCTAATAGGGAGTATGAACATCAGTGCTATCTTTCCTTTTGTGTCAGTATATCTTTGGGGAAGTCGAGGGTACTTCTCTAAAATTACCCTCAGGCAGTTTTAAAAGCATATGTACTGGTGACTGTGTTACTAAACTGTTTCTGCAGGAACCCAAGTGTGCAGAGTTTACAATCCAGAGAGTTTTGCGGTTTAGAGCTCTGCTGCTTCTAGTTGTTTTTAAACACGTGCTGTCCTTAACTTCACCAAGATGTTGGTTGGCTTCAGTGAGAATATTTTCTGTGGGAATTTTAGTCTTGAGACTTTGCTGTCCTCAAATGATCTTCTGCCAGAGTTGATCTTCTGGTGGTGATCCTGTGCGCTAGAGGAAGTGGTTAGGAGGCCTAAACATTGTGATTCTGAGACAGCACTAACTAAGGAATTTTTCCTGAAGTTGTCACTACACAGCTTAGCACTTTGACCATCTAGTTGTGGGTTTTCCTACTAAGATATTACCTTTTAAAAAATAAATAAACAAATAAATTGCCTCTTCACCCGTCTTCGCAATTTCCCCTGTGTATTCTGGTTTAGTAAATAATTTGACATCAACTTTCTGATTCTTTTTTGTTTCCCTGCCACAGCAAAATCTGATAGCAAGATTGTTTATTCCAAACACAAGTGGACTATTAGAAGCCAGATATGTTATTTTGGCATATTTTGCTCCCGTGCCTAGTTTGTATCTTATGAAGAACTCATTGTGTGCATATCACAGTGCTAGGTATCTAGGGAGTACAAAGATGGAAGAGGAGGGGCTTTTGCTCTGAGAAATTCGAATTTCTAAAGGAACTTATTATAATCTTCATTATAAACCACTAAGAATGAATAGAATTTCTTCCTGCCACAGAGTCCCTAACTCTATATATTAACAAAATAATCTTGAATAAATAAATGTGTTAAAGTAATATTCAGACATCCCCCTAATCACTATCAGACATATTTTAGCAACATTTCTCAAACCAATTATTTCAAATTTCAAACACTGAGTGGACTCAGAAATTCATAGCAGTCAATCTGTTATTTTTCCATCTAAAAGGAAAAGAAATGTTACAGAACTATCAAGTAGACTTTCCCTAGTTTATTTTAAAAGAAATTTAAATGTGTACAAATGTAAATTATGGGAAAACTTCTTATGCTTATGGTTTCTATAGATTATAAACCTAAAGATAAATTAAATAAAAACTAAGAAAATTAGTAACGTTTGAACAAACGAGTAATATAAGAAGATTTTTTTTTCCCTTCCAGAAGCCAAATCACCAATGTTGAGACCATCATCAGTGGAAAGACAATCTGTGTTTTTTGTGCTATTTGTGTTTGAATTGATTTTTCTGGTTTTACTTCTAGTTCTACTAGTCTTTCACATGTATCCTTAGAATTATCACAATAATCATTTTTCCATCTTAATAAAAAACACGTTTATATCTACTGATTGATTGCTTTATTAAGACAATTTATTTAATTATATATCCTCAGATAAAATATTGAAGAAGAAAGATATCACTGAATGCACCCTAGGATGAGTGTATTCTACCACCCACAAGTTTTCTATTTGTAAACTACTGTAAAGCTTTTGTTCTTAGAATAAGCCGAGACATCTTTGATGCATTATTTAGCATAAATGCATAATTTACTTTTAAAATCCATCTCTTCTATTTTCTCTCTAGCCCATGGCAACTTGCATGACTTAGCCTCACTTGATCATTTTTTTGACGCAAATTAATGTTGCAAGAGAAAACTTTTGTCTTTGTAATTGGTAAGAAAATTGTGCACGAGCAACAAACTGTAGCTGTCATGTTTAACAACAGGGCCCTGCTGACCTAAGAGCACAGCCAGTCCTGCTCACTAGTACTTTTAAAAGTTCATCTCAGATTGCTTGGCACCAAGTGCCTTGTAACTGCAGACCTGGGACTGCAGACATTTGTCATGAATGTCATTCTTATTATCTGAAATATGCTTCTATCATTTTAGCTCATTTGAGCACCAAAGTGAAAATACAAAATTTAAAAATGATTGGAAAACTCCAGATCATGTCTACAGATTTCTAGTAGACAAGGACACCAGTTTGAGAAACACTAGTCTAGAATATTAGGCAAATATCTGATAACCAAGGAACAGTTCCTTTTTCTTTCTCAGAAAAGAGGTGACATTTCTGAGATGTCTGCTGACTTCTCTTTCTCCTTCAGCCTTGATCTGCTCTTGACCAGAGTTAACCAATGTCTTGCTTCTACATAAAAGGACTGTGTAGACTAGGCACAGGTGTAACGCCAAAACAGAGTTCCCTTAAGTGAACAGAACCATTGACATAATTTCACACAATACCAGAATTGACATTGACTGTCTCTCTTCTGCTGCACCATAAGCTCCTTGACAAGTGACTCTGTCCTACTCCCTTGGGATTCCCAGTGTGTGAGACCATGCCGGGCAAACAGGAGGTGCTCTGGAAAGGTTTGCTGTAAGAGCACATAAATATTCATAGAAGAAAGAACTCAGTACATCAGATGACATGTTCCCGTTTCTGCTCCTGGAAGCATATGACACATGGTTCATCATTATGGGTCAGATGAGTTGGCCTGGAGGAAACTAGTCTCTGCCTGTCTCTGGCATGTTCTTGCCCGAAGAATCAGACTAGTGATGAAATATTTCCCATTTGGCATACTTCCTCTGGTGCCTTCCCCCTTTCCTTTCCTCATCTTATCACCCCTATGACTCAGATGAGCTGTGCTGGTTTTCTTATTCACAGGAAACTTATAGGCCACAGTCCAGAACATAGGCTCTTTATCATTCATCACTCGACCCGTTCATACAGTTCCAGTTAAGTCAGGACGAATGCTCATGCTCTTTGGTTTTTGGTTTTGTTCTATTTGCCTGACTTCATTGTGATGATAGGTCAAGCAGATAAACTGTGTATTTGTTGGAGATAACTTTTGATTCTTCAAGATCAAAGCATATTGTTATTGACCCTTATACAAGTACTGCTTTGGTTAAGTAATTATTCATTTTTTTTCCAAGATAATTATTTTTCTAACTTAGCCTTTTTGAGTCAGTGTTTAGATTTCTTATCAGAAAACCATTCACCAGATAATGGGCATAGGTTTCCATCACATGCTCCAGACCACTTGAGGGAAAATGTCTTTCCTGATTCAAGACTTCATGCTAAAGTAATCTCAGCTGGGAGGCTGCACTTCTGAGCAGTTTTCTTTTCTTTTCTTTTTTTAACCAGGGATTAAACCCAGGGATGCTTAACCACTAAGCCATATCTGCAGCACTTTAAAAAACTTTCTCATTAAGTTGCTTAGGGTCTCACTAAATTGCTGAGGCTGGTTTTGAACTTGTAATCCTCCTGCCTCAGCCTCCTAAGGCACAGGGATTACAGGGGCGTGCCACCGTGCCTGGCATGAGCAGTTATTTTATGCACCTCTCCATCATTCATTTCTTCAGTCTTTCCTTTAAAAAATGGTAGTTACTGGCAATAAAGGACAGAAAAGAAAATTTGGTAATACTAAAGATTAGATGCTTTGTATACTAACATTATGTAAAATGGATCTAGCCACAAGAAACGAAGAACTAAACTCTAGATCACACCTCTTAATCTGTGTAGCTAAGGGCAAATCAATTTTGATGTAATGGGAAGTTCTTGTCTGAATAATTAAGCCTTGCTGTCCACTTATTGCCTTCAAGTCTCTAGGCAATCTTAAGAGAATTTGGAACTTGTAAACCTAAAATGCATTGGAACTTTATGAAAATATCAAGTAGAAAAATAAGATGTTCTGTAGATAAAAACTAAATCTCAATAAATACTTATATCAGAGACTGACTTTTCATTTTGTAGTAATCAAAATAGATTGTCCTTAGTGCTCAGAGTGAAATTGCAGATTTTCTTGGCCTCTCTGTTCCAATCAAATGTGATAGTTTTAGTACCACAGTTTTTTGTTTTTATTTTTTCCCATATCTTACAAAAACGAACATGGTATGCTTTGAAATAGCATTAGGTAAACAAAGGAAAGCAACTAGGAGAATTTTTAAAATTAAAATTGTGTTCTATATGAATACAATTTGTTATATATATACTTGTTATATACAAGTTGAAAGCTGTAACATGAAGATAACTTATGAAACAAACAAACAAACAAAAAAACTGGTGCTGTCACATGTGTTCATAATAAAATAGTGCCTGAAATAACTCACACCATTGGGTTGGATATGTATAGGTATGTTACATGTTTGCCCATATACAAAAAAAAATATCTGTTTCATCAACTGTAGTAACTAAGTGTTTCTGTTTTTCACTGATTCAAAAAAGCCATATGCATTTATATTGAAATTATAATGCATAGATACTATCTGCTTCCAGGTAGCAGTGAGCTCCTCACACTTAACTTTAGGTCTACCCTTAGAATAGATGAATGATCTCAACAATCCCTTTTTAGAATAGCAGGGGATGAATGTGAATACTTACTTATGGAAGAGCAGGGGACCAGCCTAAAACTATTGCTTAGATTTTTACTCACCATAGCCTTCACTCACAGAGGGGACTGGTTTTAATGACTCCATAGTACTACTGTCTTCAGCAGTCCTTAGTCAACAAGATGTTCAAAGCAACAACATAATACCCTCCACACCCATGTTACAACTAGGAGATGTTGATGTTCCCAGGGTCCTCCGTGGGATGTGTATTCCTAGGGGATTACAGAATAACTGCCACATAATAGGAGCCAAAATGTGCTCTGGCAATTATTTAAAAAAATGTGCTTTACACTGAGTTACATCCCTAAAGCCTACCACATGTATTCTGAGCTTGGTGTTTTTTGTTTTTTTTTTTTTGATCTGAACAGGGAGAAGATCCAATTTATTCGAACTGAAGGGACTCCAGGATTGGTACGCCTTTCTAGTGATGCAGACCTTGTTATGTTGCTGAGGTATGCCACACGGTGAAGTAGAGAGTTTCCTGATAGATACTAGGAAGCATTTTAGAAAATAATATATACCAATATTGATAGCCTCAACATGTCTTCTTTATCTTAAAATAGACTTAAGGGAATACATTGAAGATTTATTTCAGATATTGCATTTGTTACCACAGCGATCTGTTTAATTTTGTTTTTACCCTCCTGGAAAAAGGATGTGGTATTTGAGAAGGGAAAAGACTATAGAGATGAATGAATACAATGTCCCGGTCAGAATGGAATAGAAGAGTAACCAAAGAAGATACATACGGTTTACCTCCTCAGGGCAGGACAGAGGTCATCTTTATGTTTTCTTTTTTTCTTAAAATGTGTTTTGTTTCCTTCTGCTGATTCAAGATATTACTTATTTACTTTGTGGTTTTATGAGTTTAGGTTTGGGAAATTGGATCAGAAAGTTGAAATTTGGTCCCTGGCACACACTGCCAACTTGAAAGCCCTTCATAAAGTCGACCCGTTGTGTTTTCTTTTGTGATGGTTAGATTGGCTTTGGTTTTTAAATTTTAGAGTAGTTCAGAGGGGAAACTGTCAAGTTTTCAGAAGACTTTCTCAGTTTTAATATCGTCTCTCTAATATAGGCAAGCCAGAGTAAAATAAAGGTCTGTTCTACCTAGTGGTTGGGAAACCCACCACAGAGGCCTCTGAAGAATTTAAGGGAATGTCATGCTGAGCCACTGAGGCGTTGTTTTATTTGTCCCTGAGTGCTAACAACCATTCATGTTTTTTATGATGATCTTGATTCTGGCCATTTCTAATTCTCCACTTGATGGTTGCTGTCTGTGTTGCCATATTTCACACTGACTACTTGATTGTTGCCAAAAGCTTATCCCTTGTATTGTTGCCCAAAAGTTGTTTGTGTGGTTGAAGCATAACTCAAAAGGATGTCATCACTTTCCACAGCCACTTTTCTCCACTTGACCTTGAACAACATCTGCAAGGGAGGTGTCACTTGTCAGTTTAGGGATGGCCTGGCTCCTCTTCTGTGGTAAACTAAGCCAATTCTGAAAGCAGCATCTAGTGCTTACATGGTCAGGAAGACTACTGTCCTGTTAACATCAGAGTGTGATCTTTCTTTCTTTCAGAGTTTGGTGACAAAATAGTTTTGTTACAAAATTCTGGCTAGAAAATGACTCTTTTGCTTCATTCTAGAAATCTAATTTTTTTTTCATTTAAACTAAGAATTCTGCTTTTGGGATTAGTAAGAACTATATTATAAAGCAAAAGTCATGAATATTCTTCAACTAACCTTAGTTAAATAATCTCCAGATGGTTTAAGTTTACATATTTTATTACCCTAGAGTTTCAAATATTTGTACTTTGTTCTTTGATAAATACTGTAATTTGCATGAATTTCTATGTATTATGTGGTTGAATTCAACAGTATCTGAAAACTCTTGTATAAAGGGCAAGGTCACATTGTCCCCTGTTTTAGGAAAATACACAGGTTCTCTGAAGGTAATGATTATTTAGAGTGGTATGAAAAATCTACCTCTATTTAGTAGTTCCATTATTGTTACATAAAAATGTTGTACTTCATTTGAGTGACCAAATGTATTTATTATTTTAATAATAGCACACATTGATACATGTGTTATACATACCTGCTTGTAGTTTAATGATTATTAAAAATGTGGGTGTGTTGTTTTTATCCTCAGTCCTTTATTTTTTACACCACTTTGGTATTGGATTTGCTTCAATCAGTGACTATGGACTCAAGCAGAGTATTTATTTTTTTTGTATTTTGTCTGTTTCTTAAGAAGAGAAATCACCCCAGTACAAATGTACTTGATTTTCAGTGAGCCGCAATGTAGAAATAATACAGCTCTATGACACTTTCAACTCAAAGTCAACCTGTGTAAAGTTACCATCTAACAGGGCTATTGTAAAACACAAGAATTTTTAAATGACCCGTGGCATTTATTGTTGATTTATCAATTCTCTGTATCCTTTTAATAACTCAAGTCATGTAAAACTCATGCTTCTATCAGAACTCATACAGGAAATGATTGATTAATTTAGCCACATAAAATTGCAAAATTTATATAATAAAAGATACCACATATCAAGGGATAAAGAAAGGTAACAAACTGAAAGGATAATATTCACAGCACTAGAACAAAGAGATGGAGATCCTTACTACCTACACTGCTAGGTAGATGTCCGCACCATGATAGATGACGAATGCCCTTAGAATATTTTAAAAGAAGAAGCCCAAAAGAAAAATGGAAAAAAAGATATAAAAAGGCATTTCATAGAAATTGGAGCACGAATAAATTCATGGAAAAATTTTTATAATCCTAAAAATGCAATTTCAAATAATGAGATACCATATCACAATAGAAGATCGTAAAACTCGAAAACTCTGATAATACCAAATGAGACATAGGAACTCTCATTTTACCTGGGTTTGGTGGAATTATGGTTTCTTCAATCTCTTTGGAGTGCACATGGATAATATTTGTACAGTTGAAAAGCCATATGTGTGTTTACTGAGAAACTACTTTTAGGTATATGCTACATTTACACTTAAGAAACTCTTTTATACATATTCAAGGTGACACATAGAGGATAAAAGCATGCACTTGGAAAAAAGTAAATATTTGTCCAAAGAGGTATAGAGAAATAAACTGATATGTTTATAGAATGGCCTGCTATATTGTAGACAAAAGGAACACACGAGATCCTTATGCATAGACATCAGAATTAGAACAATATTGTTGGATGAGAAAAAACAAATCAAGAATGCTATATACTTAGAGTTTATATAATTTTTAACAATGTAGGAGGCAATGTTCATCTATACATTCCTCTATATAGATATGTTTCAGAATACAAAACTATGGAAGAATACCTGTAAGTCATGGTGGTGGAGAACAAGGGACCTCTGAGGGAATGGGCTGTGTGAAGGATAGACTATCCTACTTTCCTACTCATTGTGCAAATGAGGCTTCCCCCACCTCTTTGACTAAAGTATGCATTTTGTTTCTTGTGTTCTTCAGCTTATTTGAAGAAGAGATAATGTCATATGTGCCTCCACATGCCTTACTCCACCCCAGCTACTGTCAGTCCCCACGTGGCTCCCCCGTGTCATCTCCTCAGAACTCACCAGGTGAGTCCACCTACTGCTCATGTGAATTCTCTGAGGAGTATGCCCCAAAGTCAGATATTCTCTCCTTCCGAAAGGACTAGTGTAGGCACAAGTTACATGTTGTGTAGCATTTGTTGTCTCTTAAAAGTATCTTATTTCGGTGGGGATTCATTTTAGCAGAAAGATGATGAATAGGGGGATAAATGTTAGTAGTACGACAGGCTTCCATACAATTTACTCATTGTTATGTTATGTGGTGCCTTATACACCTTGGAAAATACCAAGGTACAAAATACTATGTTAGTTTTTTGGATTTATAAAGTGCCAGTGGGGAGACATTGGAAAATAAAGTCGCCATTCTCAAGAAATAATATTGAATTTAAATGATTCAGTGTCATGGACTTAGATATTCTCCCCCTTCAGTATTCACTAACTGTGTTAGATAGGAAAAACAAAAAGAAAGCTGAACGGTCAGAAAGAGCATATTGATAGATAAATTCAGATTTGTAAACTCAAACTCTCTTGAAAAAAGAATGTGAATGAAGGAGGGAAGGAGTAAATGAATGGATGAATGCATGGTAAAAAATGAAACATAACAAATGAGTCTTTTTTTTTAAGGAAGGTAGACATAATTCTGACAGAACATTGACTATATTTATCCTTATTATAGGCAATGAATTTTTCACACTTTAACAGCTATAAAATTTAAAACTGTTTCAATAGAAACTCAAACATCCAGGGTATCACTAACAGTGCTGTATGTTTTTTGATATTTCACATGTGTTTTCACATATTGCTTTGATAATGAAGCTACAGCCTAGCTGAATACTGCAAACAGGAAAAGGTCTATTAATTTGTTCACATAACACAGATTTATTGAGCATCCAACTATGATCCAAGCACTGCATTAAACCCTGGTGGTATACAGATGAATAATGCAGTCTGCCTTTGAAGGGTTCATGGAGGTGTAGTGAGTCAATAATGACTCTGAACTCTGTTGTTAGTCCTGTAATGAAGAGCTTGTATGGGAACGCAGATGTGGGAACAATTATTCCTTCAGTGTTGGGGGTGGGGCGTTTGGGGAAGGTGAGGATAACAGACATGAAGTCACCCTTAGATGCTGATGAATAGGAATCTGCCAAGTAGACCAAAGAAAGAACTTTCTAGTTAATGGGTAAGCATAACCTAAGGTGCAGAAGCAGGAAAAGCATTGTTAGGGGCAAATTAATAGTTACAGGTGAAGAGGAGGACTGAAAACTCAGGTTGGTAAGGTAGAGTAGGCCCAGTTGGTCAGTGAAGCCTTATCTCAATGAGAAATCCATGAGAAACCTCTGAAAACTTATAAACAGAAGAATAACAATAATATAGATTCGTTTGGTGACAGTATGGAGAATAGATGAGAGACTGGAGCCCAAGATACTGTTTGGGAAGCTGTTACGTTAGCCTTGTGACACGATGAATAAAAGGCTGGACTGGGGCACGGGGTGAAGACATGGGAATAAATACAGGGGATATGTTGGATGCAGAGACAAGGACTTTGAGTCCAAATAGGGAAGAGTCAAGGTAGAATCGAAGGTCCTTACTACCTACATTGCTAGGTAGATGTCAGCACCATTTACCAAGAAGGGGAAAAAGGTTGGACTGGAAGTGAGAGGTGAAATGAATTTAGTTTGGGATGTATTTTGTTGAGAAATCTTTGGGCCATCAGCTGGAAATGCACAAAGACATCTGGAAAAAAATAGTCATGGAGGGAAGTAGAGGTTGATAGCCAGGAATTGAGTGTACTGGTGGTCAGTGAAGCCCAGAGTGTAGTTTAGAGGAAGTAGGGAGGAATGCCAGTCAAAAGAAGAGAAAATAGTTGATGGTGATAATGAGGAGCCTCAATATTTAAGTGATGGGCTGAAGAGAGTAAAAGAAAGTGAGCCAATGGATTTGGGCATAGAATTAGGAAAGTCTTTTGAGGGGAGTCAGTTTTCAAGGGGGTGCAGTTCACAGAGAAAAATGCTCCAAGGTTTCAAGAAGGATGAGGTCTGAGGAGAGGCCATGAGGTCTTAAAATTGTGAAGTTATAAACGATCTCTGCTAAAGAGTCTGTGAACTAATAAACTGGATTATGACCAGTTATAGAAGGATGCAGGATGTAAAGTAGAAGCCAGGAGTGTGGCATGCTCTTTTCACAAGGCAGAGGAGAAAGTGAAGAAAGGGTCTTTGGGGTAGGGTAGTTGAGCATGTACATGGAGCAGTCTCAGGGTGGGTGGAAGGAGAATGGTTTATTGAATGAGGCAAAAAGCAGCCATCACAACACAGGCCTTTGGGAAGGCAGGACACAGAAAGGAAGAGCATGGGCCAACTCTGGGAGAGTTGGAGACAACTGTTCAGATGACACCAGGTGAGAGGAAATATTCTTGACACTACAGGTAAGTTCAAAGATTTAGGGGGAAAAACTGATGGAATACACAGCCGACCTTAGTCATTTACCAGCTGTGTGACTTGAAGTACATTCACCTCCTTCCCTGATCTTGAATATTTCTTTTTCTGTAAGATGGACATAAGGATAGTCACTTTACCTCTGATGGTTATTTTTGGAAAAATGCCTTTCATGGTGCTGGAACTTAGCAGACCTCCAAGAAATGTTAATTTATCCTTTTTTCTTTCTTTCTGGAAAGTTTCTTCCAAGAAGCATAGTTTGTCCATATATGAGTCATTCATAACTGGATCTATGTCTTACTGACTTGCAGAGCTGGCTGCTTAGGCATTTAGTCACTCAGGGAGGTCTTTTTTTTAGTAAGAACCTATGCTAGGCTGGGCACAGTAGTACATACTCATAATTCTAGCTACTAGGAAGGCTGAAGCAGTGGGATCACAAGTTCAAGGCTAGCCTCAGCCATTTAGCAAGACCCTGTCTAAAAATAAAATTTAAAGGGTGAAAAAAAGTTGGGGGTGTGCTAGACCCTGGGAGGTTCAATCCTCAGTAACACACACACACACACACACACAAACAAACAAACAAAAAAAAACCAAGAGAGATAGAGAAGAAAAGAAAAAACAAATGAACCTTTGCTAAAGTTTCATCTGATGTTTCATGGTTAAAGAAATGAAGCCATGTAGATTATCACTCATGCCATCAAGGTTTTCCATTCTAGGCTCTTTCTGAGGCCTATCCTTCCTCAGAAAAAGGTAGATCACCAGATTCTCTTAGGAGCCCTACAAAGTATGCTCTTAAACACTGGCTGAACATTCTTTGATTTTGTGCGAATATTTAAAATGGTGACCCAGTTTACTTCTTCATTTAGCATCCAAATGCACATGGTTAATCCATGGTGGTCCTAAAATGCATTCTGGAAGCTTAGATTTAGAGTTAAATTTTCCAAAGACATGTGTAATCCAAATATATCTAAATTACTAGCAGAATTTGTGGTGGTTTTAATTTTCAGGAAGAATCATCTCCACATTTTTTGGCCTACTCTGTTTCAATAGGCCCTGTTTGATCTTGAGATTGGGATGTACTGCCTGATATCAGTGGAAGTAGCTGTAACTAATTCCACATGATAGAAGAGCAGGACTTGCTAGCCTCGTTTTCTTTGTGGAGGAATCTTCTGTTTCTTTAAGTCAAATAGCTTCTTCTACCAGTATTCCTGAAGGTTTGGTAAAATTAATATTTTAAAGTGGCCTGATCCTTTTTATCATAAGTGGAATTTTACCCCCTTAAGTGGTGTGAGGATAACATTGTGAAAATTATGACAACAATAAATTTTAATGATCTTCATTCAGAATGCCCAGGAACCTGGTAGTATTTACAATTTTTCCTCATTCCAAGCACATTTATAGGTCTTTTCACATACAGAAGAGAGAGGGGCTTTGGAAACTTTGACTCACTGCTTTCTGCAGCTGTTAGAGTGCTCACCTAAAATTTGTCAAAATTTTGGAATGTGAAGGTTCATTTTTCTAGGACCTTTATAATGCCAATCCCAACCTCTGCTCTGCCAGAAGGAAAAGATCTTTGCAAATACCATATGGTTTATTATGCCAAATAGGGGACCCAGAAGTTTATTTAAGTGAACATTTCTAGGAATTTAAATGCAGTAACACCTAATTTATCTAATATTGTTGGAGATGTGCTCCCTTATGTGAATTTTCCAGGTAATCAAAGCTATGACTTTACACGAGAGAATTTGTTTAACCCACTATCTGCTGAAACTCTTCATAAGTACATTATATTTCTCCTTGCTTTCATATACACAGCTCATTGAGGAGATTTCATGGTTTGGGAGATCATTGTGCCTATTACAGTGCAGAGCTGTGGTCACTTGACTAGGACTCAACGGGAAGCTAGGACCTGCACAAGGTCACACTTAGAGGAAGTAAACAGACTCAGAGAGCCCTAGAGAGCAACTTGAGGGTCTTCACTGAAGGTTGTCTTTAGGGAATGGGCTGTAAAAGGGATTATTTCCTCCAACACATGGTGGGACTCTCATAAATTCTTCTTTTCCTCTTTCTCTCCCTGCAGAGTCTTAGCATCTTACCAACTGCTTGTTCTATACCCTTCCTCCTTGCTTCCCCAGATCTCTGTCTCTCCTCTCAGATATTGTCTTAAGCAATAGAGAGCTTTTGATTTTTGGTAGTCCTCCATGTTCTCACCCCTATTAGGATGCCCGTCATTGTCATGCCTGTCAACATTCCCTTTATAAGTTGCTTCTTTGCCAAAGTCTGAAAAATCAGAGCATCAAATTGTTTTCAATGCATGGTACGTACACGCGCATCCACAAACTCAAAAAATGACCCGAGGGCCTTTTACTACTCTTAGAGAATAAAGCAAAAATGTGAGGGATTCAGCACTTGTTTTGTGCCAGCTAGTTCTGAGGTTTTGCTTTTTATTTATTTATCTTATTATTTCCATCAGTTTCAGTGTTGAACTATGGTTCAGAAGGTGGAGGCTTCCAGAAATTATTGTAATGCTCAATAGTTTGATTATACAAACAGGGAATTGTTGTTGTTGTTTAAATCATATGAAGAGCTTCTTTCTTTCTTGTTTCTTTTTTCCTTTCTTTCTTTTCTTTTCTTTTCTTTTTTTTTTTTTTTGGTGGAAAATAAACCAAGAAAGAAGGGGATTTCCAAGTCATCCCAAAACAGAGGCCTAGAGCTGTTGTGGATTAGGCCAAGCTCCAAACCCTATCCAGTGCAGGGCAAGTGCTAGTCATCAAAGTCATCTGAGTTCCAAGTTGCACACCAGAATCAAAAAAAGACTGAGATTTCTCCGGAGTTGAACGCCAACCTTTTTCTAGTGTCGTTTAAAATGTTTTGTCAGGTAGAATTCTTTAATTTGCAATTTTCTAATAATAGTAATAATTTCTATAATAGTATAGAAATTTTCTAATAGTAATAGAAATCCTGTACCATTCTATGAAAGTTCTTTTGGTGTACCTAGCAATGGATAAAGAAGAAAAAAAAAAACACACTGATATCTATTACTAAAATATTTTCCTCCAAATGATTAGTATAATGCTGACCATACATGAAGTCAGTTCCTCATTTGATCACTTACTAGATGCAACATTGACCTTTGGTATCTGATTTCCTTTTGTAAGACTGTGAAGACCATACAGGCACCTCTCTGCAAGAACATCCTATCCTAGAACTTCACCGGAAGTTATGGCTCCCATATAATACTGTTAGCAGAAGCTTCCAGGAACATTTTTGGTTTTCAAAACAGAAGTAGCATTATTCCTCCCCTGGAATCTCTTGGCAGTTGCACCTGACTTGTAATTAAGAATTTGACAAAGACCAGAAGCATAGTTTACTGTAATTTTTAAATGCTGAAGCATATATAACTGATTTTTTTCATAATATACGTATTAGGAAAAGAATTTTTGCGTTGAATAATTTGTCTCCAGAGCCTCCATAATGAAATCGCTTTACCTAGCGTGTGAATGGAGTCAGAGCTAATTTTTATTATGTCTGTGCTGATAGTGATGGAAATGCATTGTGGTATTTCCCACATCCTTTTAAGCATCTCAAATTATGCAGCCCTGGTGTATGTGCTGTTTCTTAAAGTAATCAACTCTGAAAGAATCATGTTTCTTTTGAGTCTTGAAAGATTTTCATTCAGTCCTTTGTTCTTCATTTTCCTCTTCTCTATTAATGATTGTCCTCTTAAAAGCTGATTCATTGTGGCTGTCTTCTGAGCTGTCTGGGTTACTCGTCTGCAGTTTCTTAGACTGGAGCACCAAGGCTTTGTGCTTCATTACCCTCCTCCCTCATCCACCCAGGAGGGCAGCATCGTGCTCATGGAGTTCATGTTCCTTTGTGGAGCAAATGATGTCTTTCATACATGCAGGAAGCATTCCCCCTGGGTTAACCCCTGGATGCTACCCACATGTTTTGCTGGTTACATTTGATCTTCCTGTAAAGAGAATCCTGGTTCTCAACCATGGTTGCACAGAGAAACCATCTGGAGAGCTGTGTACAACACTTATGCCTGAGTCCTACCCCCACAGATTCTGATGTAATGCATTTTGGGTGTGGCTTGAACTTCGGAATTTTTTAAAGCTTCCTAAGTGCTTCTAATATGCAGTCAAGACTGAGATCTTGCTAGGAGTCTCTTCTGCTTCTTAGATCTTTTAAGGTCAAGTTTACTTTTTTTCTTTTTGACATAACTCTTAGCTTTTGGAGTAAAAGATTCCTAATTGTACAAACAGATCTCCAGATAGATCACTGATCAGTAGTCATTTTTTTTCAATATCCATTCCTAAAACCCTAACACATTTCCCCATGTGTTACTGTTTACCTCTATGCAGATAACAATGACAGCTTCTTATGCAGCAGACACTGCACAAAGTGTCACCTATACACTAACTCATGTAGTCCACTGATGTAGCCCTGGTCTCTCACTCACACGCCAGTACTATATTGTCAAGTACCTGTAGAGCACATCCACCTGACGAGCTGTCATCTCCAGCTCAGTATGTATAAGGCTTCACATGCTTCTCTCCACCAGCATCATTTCCCATAATGCTTTTAGCATCAAGCTGACCTGGCTTCAGTCCCAAACCCACTACTATCAGTGGCATATGACCTGGACAAGAAACTGCATCTTTGTTTTCCTTAGTTGCCAAGTGATAATGATGATAGTAATAATAATAACAGCCACTTCATAGACTTGGGATGATTTCTCAAGATCCCTATGTAAAGTGTATCATCCCTAATATAGCAGGCACTTAACAAATGATAGCTATTGTTGTTGTTGAAAAGCGATGTTATCGGGGTTTCCCATTCCTCTTCCTTACTTTTCTACTGTTACCAATTCATATTTCACATTGTAAATGATCCTCTGAGTCACCACCCTCCTGACTAGTCCTTATCCCCTCAGGCCTTGGTTGCTGCAACAATTTCTAACTGGGTATCCACCCTCTAGTTTCCTTTCCTCTTTCCCACCCTTAATCGGTCCAACACACTCTGAAAATAATTTTGTTAATGAAACACCATTTGTATGTTATTCCCTTGCCGAAGAACCTATAAAGGCTTTCCACTGTTCACTGCACCATGCCAAACTCCTCTGCGAGGTTCTTAAAATTCCTCTCCTAATTCGACTCCAGCACTTCTGACTGATTTAATTTCCCGTTTACTCTCTAGCACGCCCCCTCCACTCGAGGCTAGTGGGTCTCTTCAGCATCTTCTGAATATGAAGCAATCATGTTTCCAGCTCTTGCTGACCTGTCCCAGTATAGAATAGAGATTCTCCTCCATTTTCAAGGTTTGGTTCAATGAAGCCTCCCTCCTTAGGTCTTTTTCATTTTAATCTCCACCTGTGCTCATTACTTTTCTGTGACATCACTGTAACTTTTCTATACCACTGATATCAAAAGCAAAAACTAGGAGGTCAGGCAGCCAGTGTCATTGAGTAGCTGTGGCAGAGGGAAGAACACAGGCCTGGTTTAATAGAACAGCTGCTCCTGTCTCCCCGAGGAAATGCGAGCCGGTTGTTGTAATATTTCCCAAATAATTTTCAAGAGAAAAACATAGTTTTTTTTTTTTAAACTTGAAATCTCCTAAATTTTTAAATGTCGTTAATCAATTTTAAATCTTAAAAAAGAAAAAACAAGTTGGGCAAACAAAATAGATTTATAGGACTGGGGATATGGGGATAGTCCAAGGGCTATAGGTTTGTCACCTCTGCTTTATAATCTGTGTATCACCTAGTTTAGGATTTATGCTCTAATTATTTTCTATGTTTTAATTCTGTCTCCCCAACCAAGATGGTCATGCCAGAACCCTACCTTATTCATTTTTAGCATCCATGATTGAATCTAACACAGTATTAGCAATAAATAATAAACTAATAATAAATAACAGCTGATTCATTTGTTAAGGAACTTTTTCATGAACTTACATGGTGTGTGATGAACAAGACTTCACAATTTGTGTTTTCTGGTTTCTTTTATTGAGTTGGAAGTACTTGGTGGAAATATCCAGTGTTGTTTTCATGTCTCTGTGTCTGACTCCCCTGTTCCTCATCAGTTTAATATCCCAAGTTGTTGCTCAGTCACCTTGTGACACAAAGCCATATTTTTCTGTGGAAAGAGGAAGAAACTGTGATGCTCTTATACTGAGCTACTGAATGATATAAGTATCTTTAAATATTCTGTAGATATTCACGGCACTTGGCGCATTTGGAATGCAATAAATATCACTGTTATTTACTCTTTGTGCAGCCCGAAGACAAGTACCTTCTGCAATTAGGTTTGAATTGTTTTTATACTAAGACTACCTTACCCTGCAATAACAAATATACATAATTATATATCTGAAATCTTTCTTATTTTTATGGTGCATATGTGAATAAACCTTTTGTGGATTTGGGGGGTAAGGAATGATAGAAACTGACTATTCTTGCCTTATATGCCACATACTTTCACACAGTAGCTTCCTGTTGAATTGCCATGATATCATTTCAGCAGCAAGAAAAGATACTTCATCCTGAACAGTTAACCACTGGACATGAGTAACTCCGTTTGACTCATATTAGTTTGGAGTAAAAAGGGGAACATATTTGAGAAAAGCATGGGCATCCTGTAACTATTCAAAGAGGATCTTTATTCTTAACCAAAAAGCCACAAAGATGTCACTTAAGACCCTGGTTAAGCTTTGCTATATCCTTCAACTTGGAGAGGAGGGGAAGCAGAAGCTGAAAGTATTACTGGTTTTATTTGTTAATGGGGGTGGTTTCTTCATGGTAATGTGATGAAGGTAAGGACAGTGCTCAACCCCAGCTTGTCCTTATCTGTGGTGTCCTCTAGGTACTCAACGTGCCAATGCCCGCGCTCCAGCCCCTTACAAGAGGGATTTTGAAGCCAAACTAAGGAACTTTTACAGGAAGTTAGAGACTAAAGGATATGGACAAGGCCCAGGGAAATTAAAGTAAGTCAAAGTAATACAAACCACATGATTTATAGATGGTTTAAGGATGGGATGTAGTTGGGAATTTAGGAAATTGTGATTTGGGACAATGAGCCTATGTTTTAGTGGGCATGATTATTTTGGCATTTGTAAATTACAGTATCATGTAAGATGTAGTTCTAGAGTTAACATACGATTAAGCTTAAGGTTTGAAATCCAGCAGTGAATGCACTACTGCTTTCCTTGTAAAAACAGAGACAAAATAAAAAGCTGATTAATTTTTTTTTCTCCCAAAGAGTACCTCTCTGTTGGCTTCCTGGATAGTCATTAGATATTAAATTATTGCCGTGTCTTTCACAGCATGTTACTATTTTCTGAGCTGACTTGAATGTATGGTTAGCTCTATTTCATTCTCTGTGACAACTTTCATCTACAAGAGAATGGGTCATGAATGTTGTTTCGGCCTTTCTCACCCTCCCTTTCAGTGGGGCACTGAAACATCCTCATCATGTTGTCTGGCCTAGATTTGTTTTCACTCCTTACTTACCACTCTTCCCCATGTCCCCAATACAGCTTACTATGCTACTTGAGAAAGGGCAGAGGAGGGGGGGTCACCCTTGAAGCATCACTATGACCTGGGTGCCTGACCCCTCTGCATAGGAGGGCTCGTTGTCAATTTCACCTTCATCTCCCCATCCCCAACACCATCATTCTCTGAGCTGTAATGGTGTCGCACTTGACTTACAAAGTCTGGACCATCGGTTTCATGCACCCAGCCTCCCTGTCCTCTCTTGGTCCATTACCATTTACATGAAGGGCAAATGGATATCTGTGGCAGGACCACTTTAATGTCATCATCACAAGTAAATTAATTGGCCATGAGCATCATCTACTTTTATCTACCCCTTAGGGAACCTCAAGATTGGCTTAATTTAAAAATTAAATTAAGCACAATTGTAAACTCCTCCTATTCGGAGGACACAGACTTTTTTCCCTTCTCCTGGTTCTCCGGAGAGAGTCTTCTCTCGGAGCACTTAGTAACTGAATTCCTTCTCTAGGTGCATTCAGGCTTAAAGCATTACCTGATAGGGTTGTTCTTCATTTAGTAAACAAAAGTTTGTGTGTGTTTGTGTAGTGTGTGGGTGCACACGTGTGTGCATGTGTATTGTTGTATGATCATTTTTCTTCTGGATAAGTGATTGGCCACTCAGAAAAGACTCTCAGGATGTTTTTCAGACCAAAGGTGGGGCACTTTATTTACCCTCAAGTCTCTTATGTAATGTTTGTTAATGCTGCTAAGAAATAAGAACAAGTGTGTACTTTTAATGCAGACAGTGATGGTATTAAGCAACTTTACCTCTAGCCTAGTTAATTGTGGTAAATAGAAATTAAATAGCAGGTGCCAGGCTCTAGAAAGATAAGGAAGAGGAAATAATCTGTGTTTTCCCAATTGTCTCTTTACGGACAGGTTAATTATCCGAAGAGATCACTTGCTAGAAGATGCTTTTAATCAGATTATGGGCTACTCCAGAAAAGATCTACAGAGGAATAAGCTGTATGTCACCTTCGTCGGGGAGGAAGGGTGAGGAGAACAGAGAAGTGGCTGGGGAACACAGGCTGTGGCTGCAGGGCGGATGTTTCTCCATGTCGCTGTGGTTGCCTGAAACAGGAAATCCTTCTGGCAGGAAGTGCTGTTCTCATACACTTAAACATTTCAGCTTTTTTTTTTTTTTTTAAAGGCTTCCTCTGGTTTTTAAATCATTTGACATAGAAATTCTTGTCTTGCAGCTATGATCATTTTTGAGAGCAGGAGACTAGTTTGGTTTCTTCTCTCTCCATCTCTCTTTCTCGCAAAGGGAAGAAAGTGAGACTTTGAGGGGACAAAAACAACAGTGAACTGCATTTTAACATCTAAGATCTTCTGTTCTGCCCTCGAGTGCTGGGTTCAATTTGCTTCACCTGTTAAATAAGTTCAGTTTCAGCATCACAAGTTAGAATTCTGCTTTTCTACCAGGTGGCTTCCACCGCAATCACTCTGGGGCCTTGGCTCTTCTTTCTCCACCCCCAGTTTTTCTCTTCCCTTGGGAGGGCAGCACACCTACAAATGTAACGACCTATCATAGACCAAGGTGTCCAGCTTCATGACTCTTGTATGAGTGTGCTCACCTAGACGAGAGTTAGGAAACTAAAGGGTGATGACTCCCACAGTGTCTGTTGCACCCAAATAGACACAACAGTTGTTCAGTTGTTCAGTTGTTGCAAGTCACCTTGGATTGACAGCACTCATCCCTCTTTTCGCCCTTCTCCCCCACTCCGGGGCCCCTCTGTCTTTCCTCATTTGAGGTCTCAGCACCATCTTCAGTTCCCTGTAGACACTAGAGGGAATTTTAAAAATTCCACTTAGTTGTCTGAACTCTGATGTTGTTCTCTTTGTTTCTGTTTGATTTGGATCATTTTAAGGCTATCCCTCTCAGTCATGTCTGGGAATAAAGAAGATTTCCAAAAAAACTTAACCTTGCAGTATGTGGTTATAACATGGAGACTTCAAAGTACAAAATGACTTGCCTGTGCTCATAGAATAGAGGGAAGAGCAACATCATGACTCAAACCCAGGCCTTTTGTCTTTCATCCAGTGTGCTTGGAATTGCACTGGAATGTTAACAAAAGCCCTGAACTCAGACCTGATTTTTTTTTTTCCTACTGCTGAAACTTTAACCATTCCAACTCGTGACTGACAACTGTCTCCCAGCTTTGACTAGAAGAAAGTAAAATGTGACAAAAGTTTTGGTAGACGCTTGTCTGACAGTTGACTGAGCCTTTCATTGCTGACCTGCATAAATGACTTCAGGCTTGTGTTGGCTTAAAGATGCAGGTGCACCATTGAAGAGGAAGGCAAATGTTAGCCTCATCACAGGTATGCATGGGATCCCAAGTATTTCCTTCCATGACCAGTCTGGTTTGAGTGAGAATATTTTCCTCCCCCAGAACTCCAACTGCCTTCTTTCATTGTGGGACCACATTTTTTATGTGTTTGTGTTTATTTATTTATTTATTTATTGAGATGGTATCTTACTTTGTTGCCCAGGCTGCCCTTGAACTCCCAGACTCAAGCTATCCTCAGCCTCTCAAGGAGCTGGGTCTACCAGCATGCACCACTGTGCCTGGCTTGGACCACAGTTTGTTGAGATCTCAGAGGTACAGGGAAGAGTCTTTGGAAGCACTGATATTTAAGTTTAAATAGAATAGATGCTGATCTTGTTTGGTCATCCTCCAGCAGTCTCTCATGATCTAGACTGATGACGTTGGTTCCTAGGAGGAGGCCCAGGCTGAGTGGAGCTGGATTCCTCTGTGCTTGATTACCACTGGTGTCCACATGTTTCCTGCCTCCATCACCTGTCTCCTTCCTATGACTCCAGAGGGAAAACAAGGGAGAGGATGTTTTGAGGTGTGACCTCAGTTATCAGGAATGATCTCTAAATCTGTTTCCTATGCTAATAGGGCCTATTGAACCTGGATTTCTGGACTCCTGTCTTTATCATGTCAATGTCACATATTTTTAGATTATTAGACATAAACTTTATTTGCTAATGAAGCACAGAGACTTCTGTTTTGAAAGACTAAAACAGTACTCTTGCTTAAAAATAGAGATCTCAAAACTACATAAAATGGAGTTCTTTGAACTTTGCCACCTTTCAAACACATTGATCCTATCACATTGAGGTATTATAACTTTTGGGGGGATAATAATTAATACCCAGAGTGAAAAGCTACCCAAATCTTTTCATTGAATGATAAAAATAGAAGTTTCCTGTTATTTCCCCCTCATCAATTTCAGTGCCCTTAAAACATATCATTTTTTGTCAATTCTTCACATCTAGGTCTAGAAACGAGTATTTTAAAATGTACACATCTGGTGCCTAGATCTTTGTTTCTAATATAATTCTTCAATATAAAGCACTAGGGTTCCTTAGTAGAAATTGTTAATTCTAGGACTGAGGCAGGAAGTTATACAAGATGGACCCTGAAGAATCTTGTAGAGACTTCCAGAAAGTACAGAGGTTTTCAAAAAGATGATGGGGATATGCCAAAGGGACACAAGAGCCCACTGAGAGAGATCCCAAAGGCCAAACCTAGAATAATATAAGCAACAAAATAAATAAAGCCTAAGGTGTAAAATAAATATCCATACTGATTAAATATGTGATGAAATATATAAATAATTGGAGGAGAATAGAAAAATCTGTGTGAAATATTTCTTCATAATTCAGCATAACTCCCTACCCCTTAAGTATGAGTTGTACACAGAATTTTCTTCCAAATAGTAAAGTTGGTGGAAAATGTATTAAAGAAGTAAGTTTATAGGAGAGAAACCTGGTATACTCTATCTCAGTGAGGTGATCAAGGTTAACATCAACAGTTCCAAGTCATGTTGATGGGTGACACCCTTCATGTGATGTGATGAGAGGGGCAGTTCTGTGATCTCTCTCCTCCAAACCCATAATCTCACACCAATCTTGGAAAAAACTCAGACAAAACCCAGTGGAGGGATACTGTGGGAGATACCTCACCAGTAATCTTGAAAATTGTCAGCATTATCAATAATCAAAGGGATCTAAGAAAATACTACAGTCAAAAAGATACTTAATTAATTCATGTAATGTTTTTGGCTGGATGGGATCATGAAACAGGAAAAGGAAATTAAGTAAAAGCTAAGGAAATCTGGATAAAGTATGGATTTTAGTTAATAATAATGTGTCGTTATTGGCTCATTAATTATGGTACAATAGCTTAGCTGAAGCATAAAGAAAAAGAGGTTTACTTTTAAGAATAATGCATTTTCCTGCCCTCCAAAATGGTATGAATTAGCAGGTTCACAGAGAGACTTCATCTCTGCTTTAAGCTTTTTCTTTGCATAAGTCTGAAACATGATATATGGATCATTCCTGAAATAAGAGAGTCAGGAGCAATGATGAAAAAATTTAGTTAAAAATTTGTAGTATGGCTACAAATTCCACATTAGGTAAAATTAACTCCAGAACATTGGGGATGTCTGTCTTCAATTAGAAAAATACAAAAATAGCCTAGAGCCTATTAATGCAAAGACATTGGCTTACAACTATTATTTCTCACTAAAATAATTCTTTGTGTTATGCCTGGCTTTTTACAAACAATGTTTCTAAGCACAACCTTGTGATTAGTGATTTAATTTGGTAGAGCTGCAAGTTTTTTTCTAGTCATTAAAATTTTACCCACTTCATTTGATTATCTTGCATTGCAAGGTGGGGAGTGGGGAGATCAGCAGTGGCAGAGTGGCTGGAAACTGAGTCATCTTGGTCAAATGTGGCAGGAAATAGCATGCAGTGGTTGCCTGTTTCTATTAGGCTTTGGTCTCTCCAGAAGTTGCTTGTCTAGGGAGAGGAGCAACAAAATACTATATATTCTCGAGTCTTTTTTTTTTATTCTTATCATTTAAAAGTCTTAGCAACTAAAGCTCTTGTGATATCCAAAGTTAGCTAGGTAGGCTATTGGGTACTGATAAGGCATCTAAGGCCACAAACTTCTGAGTACCCAAAACAGTAAAGAAATAATGGCCTGAATAAAGAGGATGTTTACACTGGGATTGTTCCACCTCTTTTTTTTTCTCCATGGCCAACTCTGTAAAAGGCACCTTTATTTAATAAAGAATGAGTTTCATTATGCATGAGGCACCATCTATATGAGATCAATCGTCTGTTTTGCAAAGCCACACTTAGTCTAGGGAGAGGTGTGCACATAGTTTTAGTTTAGGGGCTTGGGAACTTGTATTATCTTTCTGTTGCACTCTTTCTGTAACCTCTCCTGAGACAGGCAAATGAAAACAACTAGGGAGGGCGAGACCCGACAGCTTTCCTCTCTCCCTGCTTATGAAATAACAAACAGTTCTCACACGTGACTGCTCAGGTCCTCTTCTAGAAGTCAGTCAAGGTCCATTAATTCCTTGGGGTTCATTAATTCCCCAGAAATCTGAAGAGCTTCAAGCTAAACTTAGGATGCTGCTTATTTTCTTCTGAAAGGAGGCCTTCTCAGGATCATCTATGTAACTCAAACCTCATCAAAGAAGGCTGCTCCTGTATCTTGGCCTTGGCTTGGTATCCACCAAGTGTACCTTTATTATATCAAAATTCCCCCTAGCACCAGGCCTACATAATTCGCTAAGGGTTAATGCCTTGTTGCTATAAATATCTGTGGTGAATCAGAAGGTACTAGGCCTTGTTCTGCCTGAACCAACTTGTAGGAAATGATGTTGTTATTCCTGAGGCCATCATCCTCTTCCATTTTAGTCTACTTCTACTGGAACGTAACTGAATGTTCTCAGTCATTCTTAGTTGAAAATAAAGAATGGGGGAATAAAATTCAGTATTTTAACAAACACAGAGTGCTGCTAACAACTGGGGTGGTGTGCCAGCCCAGTAACGTGACGATGTTTAAAATGCTTTATCAGCACTCGGGGCTTAAAACTACATGGCCACCCTAGAGACATCTGTGCTTATTCAGAAATGCCCTCAGATGCAGCTGTTGTGTGGCTACACACCCGCTGTGCAGTTTCTATATTTCTGTGCCAAGCCTTTAACTGTGGAACCAACCTAACTGGCAAAACAGGAATGTAACAAACGATCTCTGTGATATGAGTCATATTAACTATTTATATGGAAGAGGTTGCTAAGACATTACAGGAAGCGCATGTACTATGTACCCTGCTGTGACATGTTTTATTGGATTTGTTAGACTTATGTGTAAATTGTAATCTACAACTTGTGCTCAGATATGCAGTTCTAAATTTCAGACTGTAATCAAATCAAAGTTTAAAGCCTGTCTTAGCTTTAGAATGACCCCATCCATGCTTTTGGAGATTAAAACAAACAAACAAACACACACACACACACACAAAAAAAAAAAAAAAAAGATAAAATCCTGACCAGTTAAAGATACATTTCCTCCTAGATGAGCTATTAGCTTTTTTTCTCTCTTGAGGGGAAAATATATATAGATAGATAGATAAGATAGATAGTAGTTTTACTTTTCAGTTTTACTCCCCAGGATCCCAGTCATTTGTCTTCAGCCAGATTCAGCTATCGCCATAAAAAAGGAACCAATCAGCAGGGTCTTTATTGTTTTAATAAACTTACCATGTTAGAAGCTATTGCACCGAGGACTTCCTAAGCACAATTCACTTGTGTGATTTTGGGCAATGTTTTATGACTGAGTGGCCTTTAAGGGATTGGCATTACTTATGCCTGTCACAATCCATGAACTACTAAACAGCAAACTAGTGCAAATTCATTCACTCTGCTAGATGTTAAATAACAATGGAAATAACAGATTTTCTTTAGAAAATTAGAGAGTTCCACGTTTCCAGTAACAATGTGTGTCAAGCAAGGGACTTGGGATACAAATATGAGTAAGACACAGTGCCTCCTCTCAGTATGGTTAAAATATGGTAGTGTGTGTAGGGGAGGCAGACACGTAAATGGATTATTATAATGCACTCTGGCTAAGTGAAGTATTATTTAACAATCAGAAATATAGCTCAGAAACAACCTGCATTTTTAAGCTGAAAGTTACAAACTTACTTTACTATACCACTTGTCTCTATAAGAACATTGACCTGTTTAGAATTTGCCTTATTTTTCAGTTGTCTGTGATCCTCGTGTATGGTGGGCCTTGGTAGTGTCTGAAACCCTAACAGAGTAGTGACCCAAATAGACTGATGCTCTTTAAGCATCTCCCATCTAGTAGTTGAGGCCACTCCTTGAGATTAGATATATTCCCGGGATGTTGGAGCCATTTTATATTTTCTTGAAAGATCATAACTCTAAAGAAGAGGATTTATAGTAAACTAGATATTTTAATAAAGTGGCCTTTTTCCTCCTCCTTTCTTCTTTTTGTAACAGTGGTTGGCAACTTTTTTTTTTCTTTGTAAAAAGCCAGATAGGAAACACTAGGCTTTGCCCACCAAACATTTTCTGTGGCACCTACCCAACTCCACCATTGTGGTGCCATAGTCTACACATAAACTGCCCAGTTGTGTTCCAATAAAACCTTATTTACAAAACCAGGGGGTGGGGCAGATTTGGCCTGCAGGCCACGGTTTGCTAACCCCTGCTCTGTACACAATATTGTTTTCAGTCTTGACAAACATTTAAATTTTCCAGAAGGGCAAGCTCTCAGAGTAACAGATATTGAATTTGGGGTCAGGACACCTGTTTGAAGGTCTGTGGCTTCTGTTTGATGCAAGTCCATGATTTCTTCCAGTCTCCATCTTCTCTGTGAAATGAGGGGTTTGGACAAAATAAATTCTACAGTGCCTTTAGCTCTTGGCATTCTCTTTATGGAAAGATATAGGAAACAGAGTCTCACAAAGTAAAATTTTAACACTGTTCTCTACTGGTCTGTGTCTAGTACAGATAGAACTATTCACAGACAGGACGGGAAGCCCCAGATTAAAACAGCAGAGACAAAAGATTTGGAGTCTTAAACTGATCGACTGGCTCATTGTGGCTCAAAAAGTAAAGTGGCTGTCCCAAAAGGCAAGCTAATTTTGATCTGCATTAGTGGAGAAAAGCATCCAAGACTTTCCAAACCCTTTTCTGAGCTCTGTGGTGATAAAACCTCACCTCAAGTGTTGTGCTCAGTCTCAGATGGCCATGACCCCTGCGTTGACAGAAGGGTGAAGGACGTGGACATGCTCAGGGGTAGGGAAGGAGCAGGAGAGAGCAGAAGTGTGAGATAGAGACATAAGTCAGAGCAGAAAGTGACTTTTTGAAAGAGTTTCTCTTTGAGATCTAGATTAGTACCTAGAATGTAATTGGAACATGTATTTGTTGAAAGAAAGATGGAGTAATAAAGAACATTCAAATGGAAGAAGTGCTCTACTTATTCTTGGTGGCATCAGAAGCCAGAAGTAGGACAGAGAGAGGAAGCCACAAGCAGGTTGCATAAGATTGGCTGTACATCCCTGCACCCAGGGGACAGCCAGAGTGCTGCTTTGGGAATCCCCAGGGCAACCAACATTAGTCCCCCCATCCTGGGGCCACTGTTAACAGCATTATATTCAGCTACTCCCAGGAGCAATGTGTCCCCATTGGCCCTGAGAGTCTGCTCTATTGGCACTTTTCTGCACGCACAGGATTTTAGTCAGTGCGGTGTGGGTGTGAGCACATTGACGTCACTGGTGGTATGTGAACAGATTTTAACTGCTGCAAAGATCAACAGTTTTTATTTAACATTTCTGTATTTCTTTTAATGTATATTAGGAATAGAGCTAGCATAGTGAAACCTCATAAATCGTATGCAAGTGAAGCCTACATTGAAAATCAAAATGGACTTAAAGCAAAATGTGAAATAACATATTCAAATAAGACAAAATTTTGAGAAAGTAGTAGGCAAATAGTTGGAGTCTGTACTGTGTAAATTCTGTTAGATTCTCGACTAAGACAGGTAAGAGCCATTTTTATTCTGCTTACTAGTCTCCCAACTCCCTCTTCTGCCAATAATATGATCCTTTTCTGTATCACATAATCTCATGAGTAGATTAGACTCAGATGATTTCTTTTTTATAAAAAAAAAAGAAGAAAAAAGCAATATGGCCATGGAATAGAGAAAATCAAGTTAAGGGGAAAAAGTCACCCATAATCCTACCACCCCAACTTCTCAGTTGCTTTTACTCCCTCTCTGCATTTCCTTCCTGTCTTTGAATCTATGTGTGTGCTTTTTATCATAGGTAGATGCAATTATATCATTCAGCTCAAATTTACCAGACCAAATTGCTTTCTTGCAAACTCCCCTCTACTGCATTTTTTGCTCTCAGCATTATTGGCCACTTGTCATTCCTCAAACTCAACATAATCTTTTCTTCTACTTCACATTGACCCCGATGTCTCTGTCAGTACAGTGGAATTTACAGTGTAGTTCAGGTGCTAAAGTTAGAGCCTCTTCAAATGCCTTCTTAGGGAGGTTTATGCAGCCTCATGTTTTCTTTAATTTTCTGTGATGTTTTATAATTCAAAGTTTTCCTTTGCATCCTATTCCTTCTTTTTTTTTTTTTCTTTTGCTGTGATATCCTAAGGGAGCCTTGTATTTGAAACATTCCCTGATTCACAAAAGTCTTTTTCTTCACTCATTCAAAAATGTTCCAGAAATTCCATGAGGACTCAGTGTCCCATGAATGGATGCCATGTCCCATAAGTGGATTCCCTCTGGCTCTAACCTGTGTAAATAGTTTCCACACTGCACTCCTTTTCCCCATAGCCTTTCCTCAGACATTTTTAAATGCCTGTACATATTTATTAAAATCATTATTATATATTCTATGCATCATCTGATATGTTGATGCCTTCATTTTAGATATATTTCACGTAAGTGTCCATTTACTATTTTGGGTCAAGACATGGTGAGATTAGGAATTTGTTCAATTTACTTTGGACAGCCCTGGTATGTAAACAATTCATCTTATAATGAACATTCTGTAGAAAGTTGAGATCAGTAGAAGATATGCCTAATATCTAGAAAAAAATAAAAGCTGATTATTCTTTTTGTGGATTCTTTTACAGGCTGGATTACAGTGGGCCTTCCAGAGAGTTTTTCTTCCTGGTATCCAGAGAACTCTTTAACCCCTATTATGGCTTATTTGAATATTCAGCCAATGATACATACACAGTACAAATAAGTCCCATGTCTGCTTTTGTAGACAATCATCATGAATGGTAAGTAGCTGTTGTTGTTGTTATTGTTGTTGTTTTTCTGTAAGTTTTCTTCAGTTGATTTTCTGTGATGTTATTTTTTGAAATATAAGTCCACATTCTTTTAACATTTTTCCCCTTAAACAAAAATTATATCAGTTAAATACCTCATTTGACTCTTATTTTTGTTGTCAAATTTAAATATACAAGCCATCTCTAAGCTCGGAATAGATTGTGTTACGTAAGATGAATTTTAAGTGAGTTGGACAGAATTCAAAAGCTTTACCCCATCACAAAAAAGTTACAGATGTTTTTAGGTTCCCAGAAAAAAAAACCCTAGATACCTCTCTGCACCTTTGGGTATCTTTAAACTCTGAACTGGGTCGGGGTGAAAAGGAGGTCCTGAGCAGGAGGGCAGGCTGTGTCTCTGGTAGCTCTTGGGGAAGTGGTTGACACTGGTAGCCTAGGTGCTAGGACAGCTGGAGCTCCATTCACCCTATGAACCATTTGAAGTTTATGACAGGGATTGCCACTTGCTTAATTTCTCACACAAAATCATCAAGGAAAACCGATTTAGTATTCCCATCTGGAGGCATTTATTCTGAAAATCTCTAATTGCACTTTCCAAATGTCCTTGCATCTTTTTTAAAATCCCTGCATTTGTAGACTTTAAATATTTGCATAACTCCTACTAACTTGTTCCTGTTCATTTTTACTGATAGTAACAAAAAAAAAAATACCAAAAAGCGAAGAACATGAGTAGGATTCATGGGGAAAACTTCTTTGAGTCATGAGATTAATATCAGTGGGTGGAGGGCTTTTTAAATAGAAGTCCTCCTAACTGGCTCTTGGAGTTGTGTTAACATAAGTGGAAATACAGAGAAGCAAAGCTGCTGGGCACTCACCTCAAATGGTGGCCTGAATCTAAAATTACAAATTGATATAATGAATCCCAGTCTGAATTTATACTTTTAGAAGGCAACAGACTTTCAAGGAGCTAAAAACTTGATACTCTTGATAAACAAAACAAGTGTACATCTGGATCAGCCAAGGAGTCATACCATATATATGTCATAAAGTTTCCAAGTTGATTCAGAATAGAAGTGAGCTTTGAAATTTTTGGAGAACAGAATGTCCCAAGAGGAAACTCCCCCAAATGTCCATATGCATAATTCTTGAAGAGTGGTCGTTATCTTTGGGAATGGGGTTTGAGAAAAAAACAGTGATGGGAACTTTCTCAGTCTGAAACTGGGCTTTTCCTCAAAGGAGAATTGCAACTGACTTTGTATTAGACAATCCGACTAATAGTCACACATGTGAACTAGAAGGGGACATTTTCTCTACTTTCCCTTGTCCAATCCACATCTCTTAGAAATGGTTTGGAGAAATTTCACTAAAATGCTAATGGGGGATTCATGTTGTCAGATGTGGGATGCTACAACATGACATTACTGACACAGGGTAAAAGTGGAGCCTCGTCTCTCGTCTCTCAGTATCAGTGAGACACATTTCTTCAACACGTAGATATGAATTATTTGGCTAATAGAGACAATCCAAGGTGCACACAAATTCTCATGAACTTAGTAGGCAATTAATCTTGGACAAACTTAAATGGTTGGAATGAGAACACATTCTATAAAGGAAACAGAACCATTTAAAAGCTGTTCCATGTTGTGTAAGCTACCTCATGTTTTTCCTTGGTAGGTTCCGGTTCAGCGGTAGGATCCTCGGTCTTGCACTAATACACCAGTATCTGTTGGATGCCTTCTTCACAAGGCCCTTTTATAAGGCTCTTCTCAGAATGTAAGTGTATTTTTTATTGCTTTTGTAATTAGCATGTAAAAATGCAGTGTTTATTGAAGAGTCTTCTGTCAGACTCCTTAAATATCTGTTCAGTATTGCATATCTGCTGTTATTAAATTGAACAGTGGCTTTGATTTTGGAAACTAATACAATTTCAAATACAGTTACTGTGTTTTCCCTGCTTCTGACCTTTTATTCCTGTCTAGCGACCAAAGTCTTAGTTTTGTTCTACTCTTAATTTATTCTCATTTGTTGCAACCCCACATGTTTCTTCAAAATGATTGTACTTCAAACACAGCCCTGGAATTCTTGTGGTATAATGCTGATTATTAATAAAATAGTTGTGGGTTCTTCTTGGTGAGTCACAGCCCCTTGTCCTTTATGAGATGCATTTTATGTTTTTCTTCATGCAGACTTTTTTCAACTGCTTACTCTCAGTCAAATTTTCATTCTCCTTTGTTTTGGTTTGGTTTTATTTTGGGTGTGGTTGTTAGGGGGAGACAGCACCATGTTTTTCTTGAGATCTCTCTATGTCCAAAACAGCAATTTATGATGGCAGATGAAAATTAAGCATTCATAGAACTTTACTTCATTGTTATCACGATGATAGATTGCAATTGTTATAAAATGTAGGGCAAACCCCATTCCTGTCTTATAGTTGGTATGTAGTCATTTCCAAAGCTGAACAGAGGGCAACTGCCTATGGGGTGGTAGCTCAGATTTGCCGTGGGAAGGCACCAAATCATGGCTTGGTTCTGTCCATCTCATTCCCTTGCTGAAACTATGGACCTGCTTTCTGTAAAATAGAAGCCTAGGCCTCAAATGAATGCCAATAAAATGTTTCTTATGCACCCTTGGTCAGTAGGGAGGTCAGTAGGAGGGCTTTTCCTGCCTCCCAAGTCGTTGCGATACCTGGCTTTCTGCCTCCCTTTCAACATCTTCACAGCTGTTACTGAGCCAGAGGTCTATTTCCTCCTCCCTCGTCCCAGCAGATGCATGTCACATCTTCCCCTTTCACTGCCTTACCTCTCCTCTTCTCATTTCAGCTTCCTGTAAAGGCATACCACTGTTCACACATGCCCTAGATTCACACCCTCAACACACTTTAGTCTGGGTTCTTTCCCACCAGTAACATGTGGAGATTTTTAAAGAAAATCTGCAAGGACTTTTTAGCTCTACTTGATTGGACCGTTCTGCTGCTTCAAATACCATTGAACACCTGCCCAGACCCCATTTATGCTTGGGTCTCTACTCCCCTGGCATCTGTGACACTGTCGTCTCCCAGTTCTTGTCCTACCTTTGTGTCTCCTTTGTCGGCCTCTCCTTTCACTTGCCCTGAGATCTCCATGTTCCTGAAGCTCTCATCCTTGGCCAGTGCTTTGTTGGCTTGAAGGCCAGCATAGGGAAATTTCAAGACTTGTCTCACGTCCTGGGGATTCCCTCAGACTTGATCTCTCTTGAGTGGCAAGCTCACGTGGTCAACTTGTGAATGTCTCTGCTTGGATGTCTCACAGGGACCTCACAATCAACATGGTCAGAGCCAAACTCACCATTTCCCTGATCTAAAAATAGACCTTCCCCCATGTGTCCAGTTGCAGTTAATTATGTTCCTATTATTGGCAACTAGTCAGAAATCAAGAACGATCCTTAAACAGGGATGGCAAACGCGGAGTACATTTTCTACTCTTCCCCATATCTGATCTTATTCCCAAGGAAGAGTTTACAAGTTGTTTATGATACTTTTCCCCACTGAGCTCATGTGACCTCAGAAATCTTTTCAAGTTTATAGCACTCAAGACTCTTTTAATTCATCAGAGTTGGCTTGGGACACGAGTTCGTTTGCCACCCCATTTTAGACCTCTTCCATACAAATCCATTTCTAGATTTCTGCATGTTCACTTCCTAAATAATTCTCAAATTTATCACATTACTCTCTGATGGCCTGCCCTAATTAGAACCTTTGTCTTATTTGGGCCAGATGACGGAAGTGGTCTCCATCCCATTTTAAATAATTATCTACATTGTGGCTCCCAGAGGAGATTTATAACTCACCACTCCCATGTGACCATGTCATTCCTGTCTTAAACCCTTTTGGTAGTTCTGAATCACCGTACTCCTTCAAATGACACTCAGGACCTAATCTCAGCCACCTTTGCAGCCCCATACTCTGGATATGATGTACTGTGGTTAGTGTGCTGGGAGTGTTCTACACTTCATGCCTGTGTGTTTTGTTCATGTTTTATTCATTTTACTCTTTATTTCCTTTTTTAGTCATTTCATTTTTGTCTCTCTGGCTTTTAAACATCCCCAAAGATTGAATGTAGACATCATCTGCTTTAAAAAGATTTACCTGAATATTCAAGTCAAAGCAAATGCTGTGCCACTCCTGTTTGCTCTGACAGCTCCTCATACCTACCTCATCCATTTTAAAGAGTGCTTGAATCTACCCTATATTGCCAGTAATCACCTTATGTTAACTTACCTACTGTTTACCTGTCTCCCTAGTGAGACTACTCACTCATGAGACCAGCAACATCAAGCTCATCCAGTAGCTAATAAATTTTTAGAATGAACCAAACAAAATGACCCTTGAAATTGATCTGAAGGAGGGAAATTTCAAAATAACTATAGTAAACTAGTTACTACCACCTTACAACAAAGTATATAATAGTAACTCCACCTCACATAGATCCTGTCCCTGCAATAGAAAAGAAAAAAGAAAGAAAAAAGAAATATAGAAAGTCATTATAATTGTAGAGGTTCTTTGGCTATTTTCAGAGTCCCAAAAGAAGAATCATGAAGAAAAGAGAGATGTATGTGAACATGAATCCCAGAATCTATTCTTTAAAAAAAATAATGAATGAAAATGGAAAATATTATGCTAAGTGAAATTAGCTGAACTCAGAAATCAAAGGTCTCTCTTATGGAAGCTAATAAAGGAAAGAGGAAGTAACAGATAGGATAATATAAAAAACAGTCAAATATAAGTTAATAGATAAGCAAAAGGAAGCCTAGTGGAGGAAGGAGAATGAAAGAGGGGAGGGAGAAAAGGAGGAAAAAGTAGGTGGGGGAATCATGAACTGAAATCAATTTCCATGCATGTATGAGTGTATCAGGATGAACTCAACTACCATGTATAACTGTAAAGCTCTAATTAAAAAAAAACACAATGAAAAGCAAAGATACTCTGTGTGTGTGTGTGAGTGTGTGTATGTGTGTGTATAATAAGTTCAAAGTAGAAGAACAATATTTTAAGATAGTACAATATAATGAAAAGAATACTGAATCCAGCTGGATACAGTGGTGCACATCTGTAATCCCAGCCACTTGGGAGGCTGAAGCAGGAGGATAGCAAGTTGAAGACCAGCCTCAGCCTCAGCAACTTAGCAAGATCTTATCTCAAAATAAAAAGGACTTGGGGATGTAGTTCAGTGGTAAAGTGCCTTCGGGTTCAATTCCCAGTACAATAACAACAAAAAGAATACTGGATCCAAGTTGTTAACCCAAGTTCCAGTTCCAGATCTGGCATTAATTTTGGATGACTCTGTAAATGATAACCACTCTTTGTATCTTCAGTTCAAAGAAGTATATATTTATATATGTCTGTATAAAAGCAGAGAGGCTAAGTGATTCCTATGGCCATTTATATATCCAGAATTTTTAAACTTATACCAAATTTCTGAGTTATTTCACCAATTTTGTTACTGAATTTGACTAAGAATATGCTTATTACGTGTATCTTATTCTTGTTATTAATTCTTAGTTTCTTTTCTCATGACTCTGGATTTTTGCTAATAGCCATGCCTACATATTTGTTTCTGTTTGTCACCTTAGTCTGTGTGACCTGAGTGATCTAGAATATCTTGATGAAGAATTCCACCAGAGCTTACAGTGGATGAAAGACAATGATATTCATGACATCCTAGACCTCACGTTCACTGTGAATGAAGAAGTTTTTGGGCAGGTCTGTATGGTCACATCTCTGTGTGGGAATTGAAAGCTATTGGTGAAAAAATTTGATCAAACATGGCTATGATCAAATGCTTATTTATTTGTGACTTACTAGGTGATTTAAACTCAAGATTATATTCAGTTACCATAATCTCAATTACAAAATTATTGTAATACCAGTTGCAGATTAAGATGTTCTCATTTATAGATTATAATAAGCCTTTATGTTATAAGCCATCTTCCTTTTATTTCCAACTAAACTATCTACAAAAAAGGTTAGAATATGTCTTAAATAGAATATAGTTTTTAATAGTTTATGCTGTCCTAGAATTGAATATTCAATTATATAGCTGGAATATGTATTTAGTTCTCTTTCATATTTAAGAACTAAAATTGATTGCTTTGAAGCTTAGGAAATGTAACAATATCTTGTAGAAGTCTTGAAAACAGAGAACACATTGGTTTTATTTCAAAGTTGGTGGAAGGATAGGTTAAAATTTTTTTCTCAAAGATTATGTATTAATTCTTATTAGACACTAATATTTGGCTGTTTTTCTGAATTTCATGTGTTTTGGAAACTGAGTTCTCAACATTTACTTGAGTGCAAATCTGTTTCCCTAAATAAATCTATAGTTTAATATTGGTTCTCTAGGTACAGTTGATTCTAAGTCTTAGAGGAACTTGTGGAAATGGTTTCTGTCAAACATTCAAATAGCAAAGGATGAGTATCTGGAATCCATCTGGATTAAAAACTCGAACTGTTAGTCAGGATTTAAAACTTAACCTTTCACCCCTGTATTTTTTTTTAAACCACTGAGGCTTTCAAACATCAGCTCAATGTCTAGGGGTTACTGAGTGCCTCTATATGCATGTGCTCCATTCATAGGATGCACCGCAGTGCAAGGACAGGTAACCAGCTGTCTTTGCTAGGTGTTATAACATCAAGCATATTACTTTCTGGTCAGTTCTTTTGTTTTTTAATCTCAGATTACTGAACGAGAATTAAAGCCAGGGGGTGCCAATATCCCAGTCACAGAGAAGAACAAGAAGGAGTACATCGAGAGGATGGTGAAGTGGAGGATTGAGAGGGGTGTGGTACAACAAACAGAGAGCTTAGTGCGTGGCTTCTATGAGGTAAAGACAACCAGCAGTCATGGGGTTTCCAGTCTGAGAGCAATGATGCCCTGGTCTGTCTTATTGTGCTTTAATTGGGTGAAACATTTCTATCTTCTCTTTTGCTGTATTTACTGCTGCTCTTTTAATTTTAAAAGTTCAATATTTTTCCTTTATTTTTCAATAGCATACACACAAACGGTTAAGCACTTGTTACAAGAGATCATTAAACTGAATATTATGACCTGATTTCAAGTAGCGTTTGATGCTTTAATGACCACTAATAACATATAAGTCATGACTCTTACTCATGTTTAGAGGCAGGTAATCAAATCTCATGTGAAAAGACTATAAGTGAGGGTCAGAATGAGTTGTCACCTGTATTCCATGTGATTTTTTTTTCATTAGGAGCACTAGATCTTTTCCAAAAGAGGAAAATAAATTGGATCAATCAGTGATCAATTGTAAAACAAAAATTCTCCCATCCAAGGGCTAACCTGCTTAGCTTTTGAGATCAGGCATGTTCAGGATGGTATAGTCATGGACAAAATAAAAATTTTAGTGGGGCCAATCTTAACCAGTTTTCTATTAAAAAATACCTTTTACTTGTAGAGAACCTTATAGTATTTCAAATGCTCATAGTGTCTCCCAAATTCCTTGTGTTCTCTTTTTCTGGGGAGGCTTAATGATAGCTGATATTTCTGCATGCTCCTAAGCCATGCCCTGTACTCTTTTTATTCCACAGGTGGTGGATGCCAGGCTGGTATCTGTTTTTGATGCAAGAGAACTGGAACTGGTCATCGCAGGCACAGCTGAAATAGACCTAAGTGATTGGAGAAATAACACAGAATATAGAGGAGGTAAAATTTGATTCATAGATGGACGGACTTTAAGTTTCAAATTAAAGGGAGGCATGGTCCAACTTGCTATTCTTAACACAAGACAGACAAAGCACTTGTACTCTAATCATAGGTTTGTTGAGACCTTGGGCAAGGTACATTCCCTTCTTTCCCTAGTTACTTCATCAGTCTAAAGGGGGAAGGCTTGTTTACGCACCATCAGAGGATGTCATAACTCTTTAATTGTTGGTGACTAAATGTGACCATAAGAACACTAATTAATTATTTTATGGTGTTAATGAAGCATCAGACAGGTAACATCCAGCTGGTCAAACTCCACCTATTCCATTTTCATTCTAAAACTTCTGGGGACACACCCCAATTGGTCAGCACGTTTTTTTCTCCAGTTCATCCATTCCACACTTACCAATTGCAATGGTTGAAACACCTGATTGAAACAAGACAGATTCTCAAAATCCAACAAGCTTATTGGCAAAACCATTCTAAATTCAAGCACTATGTTCAATGGAAAAGGTACTATTAAAAAATTCGTTTTGATTGGAAGCTTTAGAAGTAGATTTCTGCAGATCAGTACAAATTTTTAATTAGTTACTGGGACCAAAGCTATTGAAATTTGATTGTTAAATCTGGGACTCAAATGGTAATTCAGAGTTGTGTTCAATAAGTTCAGAGTTTTGTTCAATAATTTTAATCAAAGAAAGAATACATTTTCTGAAATATATTGTAGTGTTAGAAAGTTTTCAGAAACTCATCACAAATACCAGTGTTTTCTGGTTCAGAGTTACTTTTTTGTTTGGTGGTAGTTTTTGTTGTTGTTGCTTTTAGCTCAAAATCTAAGAGGTTAGCAGTTGTTCTAAGCCCAGATAGTAAAAAAATACAAGCTTTGCATCACTGTTAACTATTTAGCAGAGTAAGTTGAGAATTGAACAGATCTCTAGTTATCTGTAAGTTGAAACAGACATTTAAAACAACAACAGTTTTATGGTTGCTATAAAAAAAAATGCCTTAGAATTGCTAAATTGCTTTTGGTTTTGCCCACCCCTGGCTCTTCCAGCTCTTGCCTCTTCTGTGGCTGGCTTTGCTTGACTGTTTTCTCTGAAAGGCTGTATTAAATTGCATTTTCCATTGCTGCTGTTTCTGAATCTAATTGCTGGAATAAGTTTTTCAGTTGGCCCTACATATGATCCGTATATGGCTTTGGCTGTTGTAACTTACACTGTACCATAAATATTATTTACTCATTCCTTCATCCCAGGAGAATCTAATAGCAATGCAGTTAATCAAATCAACCATATTTTTATTCACACAGTATAAAGTTTTACTCACTATATCCAACTAATTAAGGAACTATTTATATGGTTATTATAAATCTTATCAAATGAGAACCTTAGGAGGGAGCAGGAAAAGGGCCCTCTACTCAGCTGCCACACTTGCTAACCCAACTGGTTGGCACTGAATGAAAAAGCAGCTAAGCTGCCACTGGCCATATGTTCATATGGCAGCTGTTTGGAGAGAATATGAGACACATTCACTCCTTCTCCTACCAAAAAAGGGTTAGTACAAACAGAAAAAGTGGAAGCGAAACGGGCTGATTCATGAGGTCAAAAAACTTTAATGCTATAATGTACTTATTTTATAGATAGAACTACTGTTTGCTCAGTACCAAATAGTCCTTACCAAAGTAGACTGGACATGCAACCTATGTGTCACCATGCCAAATCCATTTTTATTGACTCTCTCTCTTGGATCTCTTTCTTCTCCAAATGGGACTATACATCACAAATGAAATGGCAAACCTTAAAATGAAAACATTCTTGTTAAAAGAGTATCTACTCACCTTCTTTTTGGGGACTGATGACTCAGAATTTAAAGTAGCTTTTGTGCACATAATATGTAACTATCAATTAGTTTGAATCATTAATTATGCCTATCCTTGCCAGTGTTGTCTCTAAACTGAATTATTTTTCACTGAATGATTTTGGAACCCATAACCACTGCCTTAACCTACCTGTGAGATGATAATTTGGATGTTTCATTAAATTCTACTAAAATATGGAATAAAAGTAAAATTTAGTTGATGATTAATTAGGATTTATTTGTTGGAGGAATTAAAGGTCTCTTGTCTCTTTTGATTAATAAATTAAAATGAAAGTAATTTGGTTTTAAAATATATATAACTTTAAGAAGAGCTCATAGTTATGTATTTCTTTATACAAATGATTTAATTAACATGTTTTATCCTCTGCCAGAAGCCTTGTGAGGGTCTGTTTTCTTTGCCACTGTACCCTCCAAGCTTTGTACAGAGCATACCAAGTACTTGAAAATTATTTCTTATCTGAATGACTCAAAGAGTTAAGCAGTTCCAGTAACAGCAAGTATATTTTTCAGAAATGATACGCTAAAATAACTCATTTGTTGTTCTTCTTGCCACTCGTTTTCATTTAGTGGCCACTAAATAAAAACAGAGACCTCTTGGTTTCATTTATGTTGTTTTTATTTAACTTTTGACACTCACATGATCACATTTACAGTGCTATTCCTTAGTCTTAAATTACAAGCATCATTTAAAGAATCCAAGATGATGACCTAAGTCTGGGGTTTTGTTGTTGTCCTCCTGTATCTTAGGTGGGTTAAGGCAGAAGAGTCAAAGTAACATGGTGTTCATTATTGGTTTGATAGGTTACCATGACAATCATATTGTAATTCGGTGGTTCTGGGCTGCAGTGGAAAGATTCAACAATGAACAACGACTAAGGTTGTTACAGGTAAGATGCCATTAGATAACATTTTTAGTGCAATGATATAATTATTGTTGGAAATACATATCGTTGGCAATTTCTAAGTATTTTCATGAATACACACTTTTATATAGAAACATGGGATACACCATTTCCACACCCCTCAGATTGCGTGGTTATGACTTCATCGCCATCAGAACATCCCCAGCCTCGTAAAGGCATTACAAAAGAGTTGTAAGGAAGTGTCAACTCTAGTCCCAAAATCCTAGGGACAACCTTTGCCTTAAAGACAGTTGGGTCCCACCAGCAGGGTCCTCTGCAGCCAGTATACCTAGAAGCAGAAAGAGATTGTTCAATCCCGTAAGAAGGGATCCAGTTTGTCCATGAAGAGCCATTTCTTTTCCTTCATCTAACTTTCTACAAATTTGGAAAACAATAACATTCAAGGACTCTGAGAAAATCGTTTTTGTAGTATTTATAGTTATCTAGGGCAATTGTTACTTGGTTGCAGCTTAAGAGTTATCAGACACGGGAAAGCCTCTTGGATGCTCAGGCAGAGCCTTACAAGTAGACTGGATCTTGGCTCCTTTGGACCAAGAATCTGAGCCTCAAGTCTATAGACCCAGAAATCTATTTTTTAATTCACCTCAAATTTAGGGACCAATACTAAGTAGATTAAGTTAGTTGATATACCTACCATATTCATCTATAATGGAAATATGCCTAGTTTTAGCATCTCAGCTGGTTAGCTGCACAGGGTGCTTTATTTTCTATAAACCCTCCACATCCCACTTTCCTTGATAATGCAAAGTCCCTTCTTAGTGTTCTTCTCTGTCATGTTTATGTGTTGTGTTACTCTATGCCTATGAAGTTTGGTACTCCCACCTGCTCCTCCTTAGGAGCTCTGCCCATGAATGATGCAGTGTGTTTCTGGGCCACTTCTCACTGGCTTTACCTTTCCCTTCTATTTTCTTGGGTTGATAGTTTGTTACAGGCACATCCAGCATTCCCTATGAAGGATTCGCTTCTCTCCGAGGGAGTAACGGCCCAAGAAGATTCTGTGTGGAGAAATGGGGAAAAATCACGGCTCTTCCCAGGTAAAATAGAAAACAACATTTATTTTCTGCCACTACCAGGCTTTAGGAGAGACTTTGGATTATATAGGTCGGTAGGTAGATAGGTAGATGGATAGAGGAAAAGATATAGATAGATGAATCTATAAACATATATTCCTTTCCTATCAATGTTGAGGGAGGAAAGAAAAAAATCCCCCTGGTCATCCTTAAAATATATACATATATATCTGTATTTTAAAGTACAATACACAACAAAAGCAGAGCTTTTGCCAGCATTATGACCAAAGCAACATTGATCATCATATCTGTGACCCTTGTCTACAAGTTTTTGGAAGCCGTAGCTTTAAGTTCATGTTAAAAAGTACTTAGAATCCCTTTACTAAACATTATCATTGTAGTTGTTAAAGAATCTAAATCATGTGAATGTGCTTCATACCTCTGTTTACATTGTATGTATCTTAATTCCATGTGAATTCTCATTGCACTGGATTCTCATTCATAACAAGATCATACATTCCCTTGAACTAGAAAAATTTTGCTTTCCTAATGCTCCTAATAAAGGCAAGAGACTGATGACGCAATTTTTGTAAATAAAGAAGCATTTGAGCTTATAGGGAGATAGCTGGAGCAAAAGAAAAGGAGGGAGCAAATGAACACAAGAGGAATGGAATTCCTTTTCCCAATCAACAATAATACTATGGAGTTTTTTAAGTAAAAAAGAATCTCAAATTGCTTTTCTCTCTCTCTCTCTCTCAGCGCCCTCCCCCCTCTCCTAATTTTACTAATAAGAAAACTTAAATCTGGAGAGATTTAATGAAACTAGGTTCCCCAAAATATCATCTTAAATTTAAGTAGAGGTAACTTTAAGAAACCTGTTGTATTAGTAATATAAGGTGATAATAGATACTTAAAGATAGCATTGTAAGTTTAAATACAACCAACTTTAAGAGATCTAGCAAGTTTTCTTCTTAGCAATTGCAAGACATTTCAGAGTGCATACTTAGCATCAACAGAAGGAAAAAAAGCAGGGAGAGAACACTGAAAATACAAACCCAGAGAGAGGTGAGTGGTGCAAACTCAGGGAGCCTCCTTAGCCACCTTCTATGTATCACAATCTGTGAAAGGTGGTGCTGAATCAGATACCTAATTATTATTGGACACTTAATGCACCAAATTTGGGAGACTATAATTTCATTTTTTTTTTAGCCAAGCACTCATCAAAAATAATTTAATGAGTTAACATCAGATTATTTATTTTACTTACACAAAATAAGGACAAGGGAACTTCACTATTTTACCAGTTGAGAATGGCTGTTCTCCCTCCAATCCAGGTTTCTCTTGGAGGACCAGATGTGTCAGCTTGGTTTGATGAACTCCATGTTGTTGTCCCCCCCCCCCCCGAATATTGTCTCTGTTGAAAAACTGGTTTCACAAAGAAGGTGGCAGCAGGAAAATTTCAGAATCCAAAGCTTAAAAATAAGTCTTGGGGTTATTTTCTGTCTCTAGGGGGGATCATCTGGTGTCCGGGGCCTAGGGACAGAGGCAAAGTCCCCAGCCACCCATCTAGGAGATGTCACTCTAAATAGTGTCTGGTGTCCTGACCTGTGCTCACCCAGGATGATGGTGGGTAAGGAGCAGCAGGTCACAGGGGCCCCCTGACCCTCTGGGAGACAGAGCTCTCCCTGTGCACACCCCAGGGCTGAGGGGAGAATCAACAACTGTCCCTGTCTGTGGTCCCTGAGGTGCTGGGGCAGGGATGCAGGAGGCAGCCAGTGTCACAAGACGTCCCTGTCCCCAGCCAAGCCAGGTGCCTGGCTGAGCGAGGAGAAAGACGGAGTCCCTCCTCAGGGCCTGGCCCCTGCGCCTGGTCTCACTTCCTCCCTGGCACCGCCTGGAAGGGGAAGAAGTGACACCCAAGGGAAGGCCGGGAAGTGAGGCTACCATCATCAAGTTCAGGGTATGACAGCTCAGTCTGCCGCCCAACAGGCCCCATGCTCTGCTCCTCTTCATGGACCACATCCCTTCTGAGAGTCACGCCCTTCCAGAGACATGTCTGTGTTTAGGCCCCCGGATCCGGAAGTGCCTCAGACCCATGTTTAGGCCCCCGGATCCAGAAGTGCCTCAGGTGCACGTCCATGTTTAGGCTCTAGGACTGGAAGTTCCTAGGTGCCCATGTTTTGGCCTACAGATCCAGAGGTTCCTCAGGTGCACATCCATGTTTAGGCCCCTGGATCCCTGTAATTTCATTGTTTAAAGAAATTTATTTTATTTATGCTTGGGTAATGGTGTTTTCCCTTTCAACACAAATTTGTATCTCAAAGCAGAGGACATGGACTAAGTAAAGCTTTTCATTCTTCTGAGAAACTTAAGAACTAGCATTGAAGAAATAGGAGAGGGCAGACTACTTGTGTCACTTTTCTGATAAAATCTATTTCTGTAAAGCCATTAAAGTATATGGAATAAACTTTAACAATAAGCAGATGGATCAGCCATTCATATTTAATGACTGGAATTTTCATTAAACCCGATGAACAGACAAAGGTAATTTGGTATAGCCTCCTTTTCCTCGTCTACCTTGGAGATCTGTAATTCTGAGGTTTAACTGAAATTATTCCTATAAACACTTAACATTCTCTCTGGTCCCTTATAAGCATCCAGTTGGTAGAGGCTGCCATTGTGATTTGTGTCACTGCCATCTGTAATACATATTAGATGGTGGCATATTAGACAGAGCATTGAGATGGGAGTTAGAAGACGTGGGTTCTGGTCTCACCTCTACCAACAGCTAGCTCTGGAACCTTCAGGATCACTCGATCACTGGGCTTTGGGTTGCTTATTTATAAAAGTCAGGAGGGGGTAGCAATTTAGGTTTGGTTGAGTAAGAGGTAACAGCAAAGAGCTGCTAGAGGATCTTGGGTCATGCTGTATTCACTCCTCTACTTCCTCCTGGTACCTCCAGGAAGTTCATGTGCTGACTCATTTTAAATGGTGGTGTTCCTCAGCATCATTGCATACACACAGTTGGGCAATAGGTGCTGTCATTTCTTCCTCTCTTCATATAAACCTAAGGCAGCTCTACATTCTTAGTTCTATCTAGATTATAAAATAGCACAAATGAAGATGGATTTATTCATCTCTATGAAGTAGGAATGGCAATTCCATGTTTAAAGAGTGTTTGGGATGATGGATATAAAAGTCCATATGATAGTATATTTTCTTTGTTCTTTTTGAACATTTATCATGAATCTCTGAGAGTTGCCACTACTCTGTTATAAAGTGCTCCACCAAAAAAAAATACATTTGGGGAAAAAATATAAAAAGAAGAACTTTAATGTGTAACAGTATTGTTTCAGCAGAAGCAGTTTCTTTACTTATATTGTCATCACCCTCTATGAAACGTGAAGTATTAAAGAGGTTGTTTTAGGTTACCAGGTCCATTTCTCCCACCCTCAGAACAGATATACTCAAACCATTTTTCTGCTTTTTCCTGATACATATAAATTATAGAACTGAAGAATCAGTCTGAATCAACCTTGTCAACCCCAGCGTACTTGTTTCTATTAATGATTCTGTATTTGGCATGTAAGATGTGACATTGTATATACACACTAATAGAAAATACACAAATGTCCTTCTTACTTAAAAAAAAAGAAAGAAAGAAAGAAAAAGTTTCCTCTAAGGAGTCTGGCAGAGTCTTGATCAGAAATGGGAGGTTATAACCTGGAGAGTGAGAAGCGGCTCAAACCAGCATGATGAGGGAGAATATCTTGGTCTTTCCAGACATGAATGATTCAGAGCCTTTCATCCCTTCAAGCCAGCAAATACCCATCTCATTCTTCTCCCCAATTCCAACACCCTCTTGGTGGGAGCAGTGGGTAGCACTACTCATGGAGTGAGCCAAGAAGTATACTAAAGCATTTATGGCTATATGGCTGTCTCTAAGACCTGTGCGAGTTGGATCCCTGGCTCTTTTTAATCCCTTCTGCTGTAATAAAGTAACTAGAGACTCTGCTGCTAAATAGTAGTAGAGACACAGGTTTTCCATGGAGATTTACAACCTGAACACATAACTGCATTTCTGCTTTAGAGTTGGCTGTTAGTTTAGCTCTGCGTTTCCATTTCTGCAGACGACTTCCTGCACCATGGTGCTCTGGTGGATTTTCTGAGAAAAGAATAAATTCGCTTTGTGGGAATTTCTTTTAAATAGTTTTTTAAAAATGGACTGCTCACTTGCCAGTCTGGAAAATGCAGGGCAGCCCTCTCTCCCATCATGGTATAGACTTCCTGTGTTCATCCCTGAGATTTTTTGCCAAGTGGGATGATGGGACAGAGGAGCTGGGGAGCCATAATCACTATGAAGGACTGATAGTTCTTGCTGAAGGGGAAATGCTAATTTTTGGAAAATGGTGGTGCCTGGAGATGAAGGTAATGCTGATCCAAATCAAGAAATTGAATGTAAGATTTAACTATCAAATAGGTGTCTCAGAGAAACAGTTTTTGCAATGTAATTAAACTATAAAAGATAAAATTATTTTCAAAGACTGAGAACATTTTTACCTTAAAAAATCCCATTTTTATTATCATAAAAACTTATTGCAAAAGTGATAGGAAATATATGTATATGTTAAAAATATATTAAATATAAATGTCTAAAAATGTTTAAATGTATACTTGTTTATATCAACCAAGTGTCTACTACTCTGTTAACATTTTGAAGTATATGTCTCCATTCATATACCCATGCATGTGCACACATGTACACAAACATTTTAAAACAAAAGTACAAGGTACAGCATGATCTGTCAATAATCTGCCTTTTGTCTGCTACAAGCCACTAATCATGTACATCTTTCCATGTCATTAAATATTGCACTACAATATCATCTGTAATTGGGCTTTTCCTTCTCTGGTACAGAAAAACATTTTCTGCTGTCAAAGTAAACTGTCATCTAACAAATAAGAAAATAACTGAAATAGAGTGCTACTTTTCTCAATTAAAAAAATAATGGTAAGCCCTGGAA